TGGCACTCGATGAGAGTTGTGATGTCAAAGACACAGCCCAGTTGATAATTTTTATTCGAGGTATCACCAAACATTTTGAGCTCACAGAAGAATTGGTATCAATGCAGTCAATGAAAGATACGACAACTGGAGAAGATTTTTGGAGGCAGTGAATAAGTGCATCTTAAAATTAGGGAGTGGAGTGGAAAAAATTGGTGAATGTGACCACCACCGATGGAAGCCCAAATCTGATAGGTAAAAATGTTGGGTTACTGAAAATAATTCAAGATCAAGTCAAAGAAATAAATCCAGAACAGAATATTGTTTTTCTACACTGCATTATCCAGCAAGAGGTCCTCTGTAACAGTGTTCTAAAACTAAGCAATGTTGTGGAAAGTGGTCAACTACTATCGAGTAAGAGGATTAAACCACAGGCAGTTTGTAACTCTGCTTGAGGAATTGGAATCCGAGCACACAAATGTTCTGTATCACACAAATGTAAGATGGCTTAGTTTAGGAAAGGTCTTGAAAAGAGTGTGGGAACTAAGAGCAGAGACTGATTTATTTTTGGATATGTAACAAAAAAATTTGGATTTCCCACAGCTGAATGACGCGAATTGGCTCTCTGATTTCACATTTGCAACAGAAGGGGGCCTTTGTGTACGATTTGTATCGCAGTGTCATGTCATTTATGACAAAATTATTTCTTTTATCGTGTCAGATAGGAAACTTTCCAACTTTGCAGCAGATTACCGTTTGCGATCAAAGTCTTAAAAAGTATACTTCGTTACTACTTGACTTACATGCCGAAGTTTCTCGCCGATTCCAGGATTTCAATTTGATCAAAAATGACCTGTCATTGGTCTCTTCACGTTTCTCATTTGATGTTGACAAAGCCCCATTTGACCTCCAACTCGAGCTTATTGACCTGCAATGTGATTCATTGCTTGCAGAGCAATTAAAATCAGTGCCGCTTCCCAGTTTTTACGCCTCTCTTAATGAATATACCATTCAAAAAATAAAGGCTCATGGCCAGAGGATGCTTGTGCTGTTTGGATCAACATATATGCGAGGAGAAATTTTCTGTGATGAAATTCAATAAATCAAAACATAGATCTGCGATGACTGATGACCACCTTGCAGCAGTTCTCCACATTGCAACAACGGAGACGATTCCTGACTTCAATTGTCTGGTTAACTCACATCAGCGCTTTCATTCTTCTCATTGAGTGAGCTTCTCACATTCTCATCAATATGTGAATATATGAATAATTATCGAATAAATGTCTCCTTAATAAGTTGTTTTTATTTAACCTAATTTTAATGAATGTCAATTATATAGACTTTATTTTATGCATGTACAAGTGTAAGAGTTGATTTCGAGCTATTATTAAGCATTTGCATGTATATTAAGTGTGTGGCCCTCGAAGCTTACTGAAACTCGTGAAGTAGCCTGCCAGCCAAAATAATTGCCCACCCCTGCTCTATAGGCAAGAGTGTAGAATAGGTTTTCAGATGGTTTTAACTGCCTTTTCTATTCTTACAATAATCATACCAGATTACATTTCTGTCCCCCTCTCTCCTTCACACACACACACTCAGAAAAATCAATATCCTAACGCTAAACATTTTGAAAAGTGAATGACCAGATGTGATAACATTCAAGCCAGCAACTACAGTGTATAAAGTTTTTTTTAAAATAGTGCTACCTGTCTAGATGGAAGCTTACAATACTCATCCAATTTAAATAATTACATCATCATTCTACTCATGTAATATCAATTCTCTGAACTCTTCACCTTATAATATTTGTCGACCAATACCTAACAAAATATTTCCTAAGTTTCCTTAGTCTACACACCTGACAAGGCATGTGGACTAAGGAAACTTGCCCAAAGTTTCGCCTTGCTGGGAATCAAACCTAGGTCCTGGGTTTGATAAATGAGTCCAGTGGACTCCTTCTGGAGTCTTCCTAATAAGCCAGCTATTAAGGAGTTGATTGATTGATTGATTAAATATTATAATACACAGACATGCAATTCAATCTATCCTTTTTGAACTTGTGTCTTTTCTCCACAAGAATCAATTGAATCCCACTCAAACTCCATACTCTTCTTAATATCTCTTCTCTTCAAGCCAAGCATGCAATTTTCTTTTTAAATAATTTATGGACCTTGCTTCAACTACATCTTGTGACGGAGAATTCCATAGTCTTACCACTCACTTTGTGAATTTTTTTTTCTACCCTTCGCCTTCCTTTATGTATTTGCTCTGGTTGGGAGTTTACTCCCTATATCCATTATTCTGCAACCCTAAAACAAATCTGATCTCTAGTCTCATTTGACGTTTTTAAGTCAACACTACAAAGGAGACAAACATATTCATCTTTTTCTTTAAGTACCATATGGTATCACTGAGGCACTATAGATTTTATTGAGCTTGCAGTTATAAACTGAAATGTTTACCTGCAAAACATTAAGATTTAAGAACGCAAGTTTTTTTTAAAAAAATTTGGTTAGTAGAGTATTGGTTAGTAGAGCATTCGCCATGTCATCAAGAGGACCCAAGTTCGATTCCTGGGTAGGGAGAAACGTTAGGCAAGTTTGCTTACTTTACCCCTCTGTTTACCTAGCAATAAGTAGGACCCCGTTGTTAGTCAATTGGCGGATCACTTTTCCAGGTAATAATCCCTTAAAAAATAATAATAATTTGGTCACTCAATTCACAGCTGTTTGTGGGACACTGCTATGCACAATTTGCTGCTGCGTTTTTCCTACAAAATATAGTCAGTTCACTTTAGTGTAAAATTATGTGAAGTGCTTTGAGATGTCTTGAAGAAGTGACAAGTCACTATATCAACTGCAAGGATTATTATTATTATATTTACAACATGCAATACACATTTTCAACAATAGGGTGTTAACATTGTGCTCTAATTGTTTTGCACGGGTTGCCATATCAAGCAGGAATTAAAATAGCAAAGAATGTCACCATTAACAGAGTCGTCACTCCTCTCAACAGTAATTGAATGTGAAGCGCTTCAAAATTTTAACATAAGGTGCTATAGAAATTTAATATCAATGTTCCAAAATGGCTATTTATATACGTGAATTGATACTGCAATGTACCTTCTGGGGGTGATGCAATTTTAATTAATTGGCAATTGAGCAAAATATTGTAGTTTCAGGGAAGGGTTTCCACTTGCACAGCTGGCATATTTTTATCATTCTTTTTCCAGAATGATTTTGTGTAGGAGGTGGTTCAAATCACTCAGAATATAATCACACTCTGAACATGCTGCCTATAGTTAATTTGCCAATAAGAAGCAATCTTAACAAAAAAAACTATGCTCAGTCAATTAAAGAAATTATATTTTTGTTGTACTGTATAAGCCTCTAACTTCTGAAAGTCACATCCTTGGACACATTTATTCAGTCCTACTCATTTCAGACTTTGACACTCCTTGCTCGGACAGTGGGATTACAATGGTTCTTTATCATTTCCATTAATCTGTGGTACTGTAAATGATCAACTCCCATGTGCATACAACACAGAGCAAGAAGCAATGCCTAAAAATCAGATTTTCTCCATTTTGTTCACATAACTAAAAAAAGCTAACTCATCCACAAATACCTCTTTTGTGAATTGTATATAAAATGCAGCATTCGGAAATGCACTTGATACTAAACAGTAAGCGTAAGCTAACTCGTGTTGAATCACTCCAGTCAACTGGAACAGGATAGCACAGCAGAGTCCACATACCAGCCAGCAATATTTCACAGAGCAAAGCACTAACATCAAAGCGAGATAATCTTTTCCTCCCCTTCTGTAGGTTGAGCTTTAATCTTGAATCACAGAAAGGAATAATATTTTCCACAAAGGTAGGCCAGATCACGCAGTCCATCTGGTTTTGGAAGTCTGCTGGAGGGATGGGAGGCAAGACTTGAAATGAGGGAGGAGGGGGAAAGAAAGGCGTAACAATTTAAATTATTCACTATTTTCCAGAAGTAATACTGAAAGAACATGAATGGCACTATATCAAATGCAAGGATTATTGTCATTTTACACACGCAAAAGGAAATAAATCTGCATGCATCCATATAATCCTACCTCTTTGTGAGGCATTTGTGAGGCACTCCAACATGCCACCCCATGTGAAGGGTGCAATATAAGTTGTTGTTGATGATTGGCAATATTATGGTAGTGATATAAATCATTGTGCAGAAGGGAAAAGGGGAGTATTGTTGCACATTACATATGAATTATTTATATATTTCTTAGAGATGATGTCATTCTGAGAACAAATGGAAATATGAACAAAAGCTTTGTATTGCTAGCAAGAAGATTTGAAAGGGTTTCCAAGTTCCTGGCACAGGTAAAGCTAGTTCACAGAGCATCATAATCTTCATTAAGACACTAGAAACAGAACACTTCAGTTACTTCAAATGCAAATAGGTTATGGTACAAAACGCACTTCATATTGTTTCAACTTTGTTCAGAACTGAAGCTCAATCTTCAAAGCAAACACCAATGTAACAATGACCTCATGAAAGTGCCCTTAAAGTCTAATTAACAGATATATTCATCACTACAGTTATAATCAGACAAACAGAAAACACAGATTGCACCTGCATCAGTATAAATAATATGGATGCTTTGTAAGAGGTTGCATAACCACATTATATTCTTTCTGTCAACTCATTCTATCACATAACTGTCTTGCATCCTCTGCTATCTCCTTGTATCTATGTAAAAAAATGCATGCAATCACCCATGTGGTTATCTGTGACAATAGGCAACTCTTGTATCGATTGAATATTCATAAATAAATCCTTTGCCAAGAACAGGCTAAAGAAATTCTACTGAAAAATATCCACATCGAATTAGGACATTGCGCAACTGACAGTATGGATAGCTAATCCCACAAAACAGGACGGTTACCTTCAGGAGTTAGTCCTTTCCTATTTAAATACTGTATATGGCAATTTAATGATCATTCCAATTACCTATGAGATACTCACCAAAGGGCAATTCAAAACGGGTGTCTAACAGGATTTTATGTGGTGTTGGACTTTTGGTTCCACAAATCTCATCGTCCTTCATTAAAACCTCTGCATCCAAAATTGTCCATTCTCCTGGTCCTTCCTGTTAAAACATAAGCCCCAGTTAAATTCATGCTAGACCTAAGCAAAACATAAAAATCTTGCACCTTGAGTATTAAGAATATCAAAAGTAAACTCAATGACTCACAATAGTTTCAATCATTTTCTGATACAAGATCATCCTTCTTTCATACCTAAATGTTTAGGTGCTAATATCCATTTTATACCCAAAATTTACATTTTGAATCATTTGGCCAAAATGTTTGAGCTCATCGTATAAGAGATATCAGTGCTAGGAATGGATAATTTTATGAATATTTTAAATAGGAATGCTTGTGGGACACTGCTGTGTGCAATTGGCCACCCTGTTTCTCCCTCGAAATACACAGACAATTCACTTGAGACATCTCAATGATGTGATAAGGCGCTATATCAAATGTAAGGATTGTTATTATTATTATCAATTTTAAACTTCAATACCCAGTTTCAGCATCACGTACACCCGTGAGAAATATAATGTGAGTCAGCAGAGAAGCAAAGCATTTCTGCCCTCAAAACAATGCAAGTTAACCTTAGGCTCCAACTTTAACCAATCTAAATGATTCAATTTCCTTACCAGCTGCCTGATGGGCTCCTGAATGCTGATTCAACACACATGAGCAGTGAACTTATACACAAACACAAATTGTACTGATGGATCAATGCTAACTACCCAGAAATGGCTAGACCCCGTACAAACCTCCCATCAATAAATGGATCCCACACTAACTTATTATCCCTGACTAGATCCCATTCTCACTACTTAATCATTGGCGGGATCTGAACTCAGAATCGAGAGGTGAGTCGGCAATATGCTAAGACTCCAAAACCAACAGCCCCATTATTCTACTGAAACATTACTATTAATTACATATGCATCTTTGTCAAATTATGTTTCCTTTCTGTATAGAAGCCTTTCTGTATGGAAGTCAATTAAACACAATCTATGAAGGCACACTCAGTTACGCTGAAAGATTTAAGTGAGGCATTTTGACAAATACACCAACATTTCCAATTACTGGTGGATGCACATTCTACATTAGCAGCAGTGAAAATAAAAGGCTTTTCACTATCACTTTCATTCAGACAATAATACAATCCTACCATATTGATTTTTAAATTACAATTAATACCACTGATCTATTATAAATTATTAATCTTTTCCTGAAGAAAGGAAGTGTTCACCACTGCGCTGCAAAAAGCACATCAAATGTGCCACAGGGAAAATGGATGACAGCAAAAAGAGAGCAGCTAATGTGTGGTATTGATTTAAACAAACACTCCTGGGCTTTTCACGTGTTAAATGTTTTTCGGAAAAGATCATTGTGGACTGAAGTGATCTTCCCTGCAGGTAAAATGCAGTCACAAAAATGAACTGGTCTGAGATTGACAGCTAGGAAAACAATTCCAGTTAATATGATGTAATAGCAACCAGTTTATTAGAAATTAAATCATATAAAAATAAGAGGTAAGAAGCTCTTATAAAAATAACATATATTCTCCAATTTTTTTAGTCAAACGTCGTGACTAGTTTTGTAGACAAAAACAACTAGTGAGGTCCCATGAAAAGCATTGAAGTGAATGGCCAACAAGTCTGGTGACAGGAAGAAACATGCCTCTCTCTTTTTCAATAGTGCCATGGGATTGTTAACTGTTTTGCGAAAACTAACATCTGCAGATCTGTGCTCTTTTCTCCAATGATACGATAAACATTTCTATTCTTACAAATGACAGCTGCACAAGAAAGGAATAATAATAATAATAATCTTTGCATTTGATATAGCGCTTTTCACGTCAGGAGGACGTCCCAAAGCGCTTCACAGAACACACTGTAAAGTGAATTGACTATATTTGTGGGCGAACTCGGCAGCCAATTGCGCACAGCAATGTCCCACAAACAGACGTAGATTGAAAATGACCAATTTATTATTGTTTTGGGTTTTTTGGAGGGATTATTATTAGGCGTGTGGAGTAAGGAAACTTGCCCAAGGTTTCGCCCTGCCTGGAATTGAACTCAGGTCTCTCGCTTGCAAAGCGAGTGCTCTAACCACTGAGCTACAGGACTCTGAATAAATGGTATTTCAATATCTTGCAGCCATCTGGACACAGTAAGACTGTAAATGCGGGTACAAATGACTGCCACGTTTTTCTACAAACACTACATTTTGCAGTAAATACCTGTGAAGCGCTTGGGGACCTTTCAAAATGACAAGGTGCTATAAAAATTCAAGTTTTCTTTCTCATAAAGGAATTGAAAGCTGGTGATTTTCCTGGTAGTAATAACTAAACTAGTCTCCTGGTGAATAATTAAGAATAATTAATTACATGCCTACTGCAGACAAAAATCAACCATTGATCTCTGCACAGTCTGGAACTGTATAAAACATGCAAAAGGTTAAATATGTTTCTTCAATGAAAAATGAAGTGTTTTACAAAAATAGCCTGCAGACCTCGTTTATAGTGTGGTGCAGTGAGGGTCACAGAAACCCAGATTCAGTGTCCCTGCTCTTGTACTTACACCAACCTGGGAATACCATTTATGTCCTTAACCACCTTCAGAAGAGTGAAATGCAATTTCCGATCTTTTGGAAACTATATTTGGACTGCAATTTTAGGGTCAAAATTGCGACAAAATCCGTTCCTGAATCAAAGGAATTGAACCGAGAGAGTAATATAATTGTACTGAACAACTCCAAAGCATATATGGTAGTCCTGAAAAGCACACAACTGTTGGGGCTTTGAAGCCAGAGAGTATTCTCAGTAGTTCAATATTTATGTGAAATTCATTTTGTGAAATCATGTTTTACTAAGAACATCTGCAATCGAATTTATGATGAGACACTCTCCTTTCCATTGACAAAACTGTCAGAATAAATTTCAGCTACACTAAAGAGCTTTAGTAAAGGTCACAGCATGAGATTACATTGGACTGTTATGTATGCAATTACCACACAAACTCATGAGGTCACGGACCGCCACATGGCCTGCTACTGCTTTTGTTACTGAGATCTGAGAATTCTCCATGCACTGCAGGTCTGTCACGTGATAGCATTGAGGTACTATATTCCAAAGCGATAATCCAAATCATTTGGGCACCCTAAAAGACAATAATCCTGATACGTAATGTCCTCTATTAACTTAGCTCCAATGATCAGCTATGAATAGCCTCCCAACATACTGTCATTAGAAATGACCAATCGCTATTTGGGTGAAGGGTTAGAAACAGAAGAAAAACAAATACTTGTTGCAAGTCAAAACAGTTACTACAATTTCGACAATGCAACGTAACAAAAAACACTTAAAAGATGAGTAGAGGCTGAAGAGTTTGAGTCTTCATGTCAGAGCAAATAAGCTTCAGGGGTGCTATGATTGATATGTTTAAGATAATGACTTTGAGAGGATAAATTATGAGAAAATCAATGCTGGGAGGTGATCTGTGGACAAGAAGGCATGAATTTAAAATTATAGCTAGAAGTGAGGAAGTTTTTTTTTCCCAAAGGGTTATCAGAATATGGAATAAATTGCCAAGTCTAGCTGCTGGATCAGAATCAATTAAGGCATTTAAAACACAATTAGATTAGCAAATACAAAGAGAGGGTAGCACTGGGTATAAGGAAACAGCAGCGAATTGGGATTAAGGTAGATATCTTCATTAGAGAATCAGTAACACTAATACAATAGATTAGAACGACTTCCTACTGCATCATAGATTTCTATAGTTTTCCAATAGTATATGTAAACATAGATTTCTTTGGTTCTATTGATTGTGTAACAGTGGCAGTGACAGAGCACAAAGGACATGACAACTGTGGTTGCTTTCCTCCTGATGTTGATGACTTCACTCGAGCCACTCAATACAGTTAAACCTGTCACATTCATATGTGCTTCCTTTCAGTCATTCCACCGTAATAATAATAATGATAATCCTTGCATTTGATATCGCGCCTTATAAGGTCTTCGAGACGTCTCAAAGCATTTCACAGAATATACTGCAAAGTGAATTGACTGTATATTTTGTGGCCGAAAAGCTGTATAGTAAATTGTCAAAATCAACTGAATATTGCAAGAAAAAGAAGAGGGGATTGGGTTAAGAACAGTTCATTGACTGGAGATGATAGCACCAGTAGAGGTTCAGTCAGCCAATTGGCGTCCTTCAGGAATTAATTAAATGTTTCCTGAATTCTAGCCATTATTGTTTTAGTTAAAATTACAAACATGATGGATTCATTAACTCAGTAAATTGGTTCAAATCCATTCTGCCACCCTGTTTGCCTTGTTTGTAGAATTCATTGCCTACAATAAAAATAATTTTGCATAAATATCCAAAGTATAATCACACAGACTAGCAGCTTTCACTGTGTTCTGCTGATGATGGTGTCATGATAATAACAATCCTTGCATTTGGTATAGTGTCTTTCATGTCAGGAGGATGTCCCAGAGCGCGTCACAAAATTTACTGCAAAGTGGAGTGACAAAATCAACGAACACGGTAGCTAATTGCGCACAACAAACTGCCAAAAAAATCCATGGAATGAATGACCAATTTTATTTGGGGGATTGTTAGCCAGATTAGGCCTTCTCAGGGAGTTTTTGGCTCACATAGTCCTTGATACAATGACAACAACTTGCATTTATTGGTCCTTTTACCTGAGCAACGTCTCAGAGCGCTCAAGAGCGGTGTGGTTTGACACTGAGCTGGAAATAGAAGGGAGGTGACCAAAGGCATAATCGAAAAGGAAAGTCTTCAGATAAAGATGCATGTCTTGAGATGATAAAGACCAAGACAATACAACAGAATAAAATACTGAACTTGTATTTCACATCAACAATTCATCAGTATATTTCCCCAAATTCTATTGTCTGGCTCGCATTCCATTCTTTATCGCATGTGTGTTGTCAAAAATTGTTCAATCTTTACACCGAGCTGAGTAGACAACTGTTGCCAGCAGAGGGGGCTGCATTACATCAGAGACAAATACAACTTTCCTTCAAGCTTCTTTATGA